CACCTCCACCTCCGCTCACACCTGCACCTCCACTCACACCTCCACCTCCACCTCCGCTCACACCTGCACCTCCGCTCACACCTCTACCTCCACCTCCGCTCACACCTCTACCTCCATCTCCACTCACACCACCACCACCTCCGCTCACACCTCTACCTCCATCTCTGCTCACACCACCACCTCCGCTCACACCTCCACCTCCACTCACACCACCACCTCCATCTCCGCTCACACCACCACCACCTCCGCTCACACCTCTACCTCCATCTCCGCTCACACCACCACCTCCGCTCACACCTCCACCTCCGCTCACACCTCCACCTCCACTCACACCACCACCGCTCACACCTCTACCTCCATCTCTGCTCACACCTCTACCTCTGCTTCTGCTCATACCACCATCACCACCTCCACTTACACCATCACCTCGACCGCCTCCACCACCCAGTGGGATGTATCCCAGAAATACAAGGATGGTTCAACACATGAGAACCAATCAGTGTAATACACCACAGAAGCAGACTTAAAAAACATACACAACTATCAACATACAATAAAAGCATTGGACAAAAGCCAACACCCTTCACATAAAAACTCCACAAACTAGGAATAGAAGGGAATTTCTTCAACATTATAAAGGGTATCTATGAAAAACCACTGCTAGCATCATTTGATGACGAAAAACCAACAACTTATCCCCCAAGATCAGGACAGAACAAGGGTGCTGGCTTTCACTACTACTGTTCAACACTGGACTTAAGTCCTGGTCAGTACAATTAGACAAGAAAAAGGTATCCAACTTGTAAAAGAAATAAAACTATCTGTATTTACAGAAGACCCACAAGCCACTCCTCAGAAGAAAGATGGGGCAATCTACTTCCGTAGTGATACTGCCTCAGAAACCCAAGGAGGGGTCGCTATGAGTCGGGTCCAACTTGATGGCACATAACAACAACAACAACAACTAGTAGCGTAGTGCCTAAGGCACTTGACTGCTAACCAGAAGGCTGGTGGTTCAAACCTACCAGCCACTCCTCGGAAGGAAGATGGGGCAATCTACTTCCGTAGTGATACTGCCTCAGAAACCCAAGGAGGGGTCGCTATGAGTCGGGTCCAACTTGATGGCACATAACAACAACAGGATTGTTACTTATTAAAAACCCTAAAGATTTCACACACACACGGTAATCATAGCTAATGAGCAGATTCAGGAAAGTTGCAGGATGTTAAGATCAACACACTTAAGTCAGCTGTTTGTATATACCATCAGTGAACAATGAGAAAAGCAAACAGGGAAACAATTCTATGTAAAACAGCATCTAAAAGAAAAAAATATGTATGAAAAAACTGACTTTGAGAACAATAGAGCACTGCTGATAGGAACTAAAGACCCAAGTAGATGGAAAGTGACATACTACTACTCTGATGACAGTACTACTCAGATTGAAATTCCAGTTGTCTTTTTTAATTCAGAAAAGGAAAACCTGATTTTCAAATTTATATAAAATGGCAAAGGGTCCCAAATCATCAAGGCAATCTTGGGAAAAAAGGACAAAGTTGAAAGACTCAGACTTCCCAATTTCTAAATGTATTATAAGGCTGCAATAATGAAAACAGTGTGGCTGGCACAAGAATAGATATATACACCAACAGAGCCCAGAAGTAAGTCCATGTATGTACAGTCAATTGATTTTTGACAAGGGGTACCAAGTCTGTTCAATGAGGGAAAAGAAGAGTCTCTTCAATAAATGGTGCTGGGAAACCTAGACCACCACATTGAAAATAATGACCCCAAACCCCTACCCTCACACCATATGTAAAGGTTAACTCAATAAGGATAAACAGCCTCAACGTAAAAAGTAAAACCATGAAGCTTTTAGAAGAAAAAAAAAGAGTAAATCTTTGTGACCTAGGATTAGGCAGTTTTTCTTAGATATGACAACAAAAGCAAAAGCAATAAAGAAAAAAAATTGGTAAACTGAAAATTAAAAACTTCTGTGCATCAAAGGACCTTATTAGGAAAGTGAACAACATTCCACAAGATGGGAGAAAATATCTGCAAATCACATATCTGATGAGGGTCTACTATTCAAAATATATAAAGCATTCTTACAATCCAATATTAAAATGACTCAGCACCTGACAAGATCCCAATGTCATTAATCATCACAGAAATACAGATTAAAACAAAACGGGTGAGCCATTTAAATGGCCATGATGAAAACAAAAGGAAAACAGCAAGTGTTGGTAAGAATGTCAAGCAATTGGAGCTGGTTGCAATGTAAGATGGTGCAGCCACTGTGGACAAGCCTGGCACTTCTTCAAAAGGTAAAACCTAACGTTACCACCTGATCCAGCAATCCCATTCCCAGGTCCACCCACAGAAACTGAAAACATCATGTCCGCACACAAAGTTGCATTACACATAGTGGCCAAAAAGTGGAAACCACCCAAATGTCTGACAGCTGGTGAACAGATGGAACTATGAGTAGTTAAAGTGTCCCCATCTCAAATCCAAGAGTGAAGTACTGATACATGCTACGATAGGGATGGACCTGCAAACACAATGCCAAGTGTTGTCACAAAAGACCCTATTATTGCCTGATTCCACCTACACGAAGTGTTCAGAACAGGCAAATCCACAGACATGGAAGTAGACTGGTGGTTGCTGGGCTGGGAAGAGAAGGCAAAGGGAAGGGACCGATGAGTATGACAGGAATGTTCTGGAATCGGATGGCAGGTGCATAACATGGCAAGTGCACTAAAGACCACAGACCTGTGTGCTTTGAAATGGTGGATTTCATGTTGTACGAATTACATCTCAATAAAAAATTGACATATTAAAACCAGTGAAAATGTCAACTTAGCAAGAAAATCCACCTAGAAATAGGGCTCAGAGCCAGTGAAACGCACATGAGAAAAACGTGTCACCGTGTACACACTCATGGCTCACACATGTTTAGAAATCAAGCTTCTGTGACATGCATTTAGGACACCACACCCTGTCCCCACACCCTTCCCACAACATCCACATGAATAAGGACATCAGCTCATACAAGAGGGAAGCTGGGAAGGCGAGGTACCATTTTGATCTGTGTGCTGTCGGTCAGCTGCTGCACGGTATAGGCGTCCTCCGTGTTGTACTGCAGCAGGATGGCCATCTGAAATGTTGATGCCTTCAAGGACCCACAGAAAAAAGGAAGAAACAGTTTAGTAGTTGGAAAAATGCCAGGGCCAAAGAATCAGCACCAAAGAACTTACTAATGAAAGAAATTCTTCAGACGGAAGGTGGACACAGGCCTCCTCCTGAAAGACAAGCCCATGTTCCCCACTTTCCCACATGTTCCAGCGCATCTTCCAGAAAGTGTCATCCACATGAGTATGTGCTATATGCTTGGATTGGTACCACACACCTGGTAGGTGCAGAGGCACCAAGCACTACATTCAGATTGGCTTCTGCACAAACTCTGAGGAAAGCTGTCTTCTGGTACACTGTCCACGTAACACAACCTGTGTTTGTTCTGGATTGAACTGTCCTCCCCAGGTAGGTATTGGAACCATAGCCTATACCTGTGGATGTGACCCCGTGTGGAAACGGGTTTCTCAGTTGCGTTCGTGAGCTCACAGCTGACCAGGGTAGGCTCTGAACCATGCCATCCTGGAGTGTAAGAGCTGGTTAGACACAGACACGGGACACAGGTAACAGTGAGGGCCGTATACATGCCATGGTGCCTGGGACTATCAATGAGGAAGCAGTCAAAGAGGCCAAGTCCCTGGTTTGGACTTCGAGGTTCCCAAACTGTGAGGAAATAAATTTCTGTTCTTCATCCAAAGTCCCCACTTCTGGTATCTGTTACAACAGCACTAGGAAATGAAGACCACATTAGATGGCATGGCATCTGGGGTTTGAATGTCTTTGACTACTTAACATACCAACCACACACGTACAAGCAAACCCCAACTGCTCTGTTCTCTATGTCTTTCCCACACTTCCAGGGGCACCATCTCCCCTTTCTTTGCCTCCAGTCCACAATAACAAGCAATGGCTGTGGGCAACACCACCTGCCTGGGCTGACCTGGGCCAGCAGAGTGCAGTCGGCTGAATCACGACTGCATGGCCCTCTAGCCACGGTCTTGACTCTCACAAGAGTGACCA